AACAGTCCGTGAGTCCATCTCAGAGGACCACTCACAACGGAGTTCCAGAACAAAGCCAAATGCCACAGCACAAGTGGAGGCTCTTGGTGAGCCCGCTCTCAGCGCTGCCGTGGGACACGGTGCATTGCTGTTTATACAGAAGGACAAGAAGCGCCTGTTCCAGTCCCCGCTGTTGGCCGCCTACTGATCGCCCTCCCCATGGGCTCCGGTACCATCATCCCTGGCCAGAGCTTAAACCTGCCCACCATGGTCTGCTGGTTCTGTCTCTAAGTCCCTCCTGAGTTCCTCTCTGCTCCCCAGCAGACTCTAGTGCCTTTGTCCCCAGCCTTACCCAGTCCTCCCATGGGGTGTGGCCCTGGGGACCAGTGTCTTCTCACCCCCCCAGCCTGCCCTCCCACCCTTCCTCTGCAGGGCTGCCGGGGGTCTTTCTGTGACACTGGCCTGTGGGCTCCCAAGCTGCCTTCATTCAGCAGCACGTTTGACACCTGCCATGGACCGACAAGTCACTGTGACAGAAGACAGGACTCCAAAGGAGAATAAAGCCAAGCAAGCTTCCCGCCATCCCAGTGAGTGGGAAGGAGGAGAGAGCATCGGCGACCTCAGACGGACTGTAGATTCCTTAATGGGCACAAGAGGTGGCTCTCGTCAATCTCTATCTCACGCTGCTCTCTCCCAAGTGAGGCCTAGGAAAGCCACATCCCCTGTGAGCCTCCTGGCCTGGCCTGGTTACCTCTCCTCCCCCTTCAACACCACTTCCTGGGCTGGGGATTAGCTCAGTTGGTAGAGTGCTTGCCCCTCATGCAAGAGGCCTCTGGGTTCAATCCCCAGCACCACAAAAAATAAATAAGAACACTGTTTACTTGGCCAAATGCTTCCAGAATATTCCAGCACTGGAGTCATCTCCACAGAGAAGCTCTGCAAAGCCTCTCACAGAAGACTTCAAAGGGCAGAAATCTTATGGGAAAAGAATCTGAAGCCAGAGTAGTCCCCATATATCACCGGAGATTGCAAAAACTTACATGTTGGGTCCCCAGTACCTGGCTCAGTGCCTAGAGAATTAATGTGAACAACCTGGAGCAGCACGTCAATCATCCATTATACGTTTTAAAACATTCTGGTTACTTGGACTTTCTGGTTGAGTTTTTGCCCTGGAATTCAGATGTTAAAGGCCATTTCCCCAAAAACAAATTCCGCTAATATAAATTTTTGCTTGAGTTATACACAAACTCCATGTTACTTTTATTTTGGTTCCAGGGATTGAGCCCAGGGTGTTTTACCACTGAGCCACATTCCCAGGCCTTTTTACTTTTTTTTATTTTGGGACAGAGTCTCCCTAAATTGATTAAGGCCTCACTAAGTTATAAAGACTGGCCTCAAATTTGCAATCCTTCTGCCTCAGCCTACTGAGTCACTGAGATTACAGGCATATGCCACCACACCTGGCTTTCCTTTGTTACTTTTTAAAGATGATGATAAATAACATGGGGCCACCTATTTATAGGACTCTGAAGTCTCTTCACCCCAGTGAACCAAAGCTGCCAGGCAAGAGAAAGAGGAGCTGAAGGCTGACCTTCACTACAGTTGCTGTGCCAGGTCACCTCTGCCAGATCCTGGGGAGCAGATCCCAAGGGGCTGCCCTCCTGATGCATTCAGGGATGACGTTGACTCCTAGATGCCTGTCCTGGGGGCAGGGTGGAGAGCCAGGCTTTGTTATTAGATAGCCCTAATTTGACTCTTGTTTCTGGCCCTCATTAGTTTGTGACTTTGAGCCAGTTACTGAACTTCTCTGAGCCTCTACCCTCTCTATAAAATGAGATCTATTATAATACCTACTTGGTGTGATTGCTGTGAAGATAAAACCAAACACTCAGCTTGGCAAATGGCTCACAGGAGACGCTGAAGACAAGAATGCTTCCCACCTTCTCTGGTGAGTGTGTGCGTCAAAGTCCCCCTGAGAAAACACCAAATACCTTCCCGGCATTATAATAACTGATGGGCATTATTATCCTGTTTTTGCAAATAAGGAAACTGGGCCTTCAAGCCTAAAATGTGGGGAGGTTTTTTTGCTTCTCAAATAGGGTTCCACGCTGCTTGGTTGCTTTATTCTCTAAACTGTGGCCCTCCAGATTCAGCACATTTCTCTCTAGACAAAAAGAGCAAAAACTGGCAACAGGAGGCTTCTCTCCCAATGTCGTCCTCCGCCCCCTCTGTTGACAAGTCCTGCTCACCATCTCGCTCAGCAGCTTCAGCTGGGTGGTAATTTTCTTAGGCTTAGGTTTTTGCCCGATGCAAAAACCATTTCCTCTGCGATTGGAATCGTTTTTCCCCTCTGTGACTCAGAGTTGGTTAAACACATGGTTAGTACTTATTTTTGTTCAAGAATAATGGGACTAAAAATAATAATACATGCATAAAGTAAGAAAATGTTTTCCCCCCCAACACAAATGATTTTACACTGAAAAATAAGTCTTTCTCTCGCCTGACCCCAGTCCTAATTCCTTCTGATCAGAGGCCAGTACTGTTAACTGGTTTTTTATGTTTTTTATTATTGTTGTCTTTTTTTTTTTTTTTTTTTGGTACCAGGGAATGAACCCAGGGGCACTTAACCACTGAGTCACATCCTCAGCCCCTTTTAAAATATTTTATTTAGTGACAGCATCTCACTGAGTTGCTTAGGGCCCCACGGTTGCTGAGGCTGGCTCTGAACTTGTGATTCTCCCGTCTCAGCCTCCCGAGCTGCTGGGATGACGGACGTGCACCACCGCGCCCAGTTTGTTGACAGATTCTTATGGATCCTTTCAGAAAGGATCTCTGCATTTACAATCAAGGAGCAGCTTTAAGATGAGAATTAGGACCCTGTCCCATACCAGGGAAATAAGGAATCGGTGTCAATAGTATCGCAAAATCAGTCAACTCATGGAAGGAAAAATCAGATTGGCCTAAAGGAACCCTAAGGACTAAGGACGATTTCAGGTCAATCATCTTGGGACAGATTGGAGTTCATGTCATTCAGAGGGCCTCTCAGTGCTGAGTTTTTGGACCCTGGTGTCCAGTGTTAAGATGGTCCTGTGACTATTTTCTCTATGAAAACAATATTGTGTGCTACCTTAAAATACTGCCCTGAGGCATCTTTATCTACACAGTAATAAAGGGAGAAAGATGGGCTCTCCCAGTCTCCTCAATTTAATGATGTTTTTACAGAGAAAGGGACTTAAGGCCCAAGTCAGCTATACCAAGTGACTCAGGAGTCATTTATTTGACGGTATTTATTGAGCACCTATTAAACTCCAGGCTTCCCTTAGGCCAGGAGATGGGAAAAGGAGTCAAGCACCTACCAGTTGTTATTTCTGCTTTCCTCTTTATCTGTACTTCTAGTCATTTAGTGTTTGTTCTTCCACTTGAGTCTCTCAGAAACCCTGTGAGGTTAGAGAAGTGAAGTGACATGGTCCAGAGCATGTGGTTGATATGTGCCAGAGGGGGGACCTCAAACTGGATCCTCCCTGGACATGGCTGCACCTGATATGCAGAGACTCTACACCATGCTTAGAGCAGCATTATTTGCAAGAGCCGAAAGGTGGAAGTAGCCCAGGTGTCCATTGATGAACAAATGGATCAACAAAATGTGGTATGTCCACACAATGGAATATTATACAGTCTTAAAAAGAAAGGAAATTCTGACATGTGCTACATCCGGTATGAACTTAGAGGACATGATGACAAGAGAAATAAGCCAGTCACAAAAGGATGCGCCACATGATTCCACTTGTTTTAGGTTCTTAAAGTAGTCACATTCATAGAGACAGAAAATAGAATGGCGGGTCTGTGGGCTGGGGGAGAAGAGAATCGGGAGGTTAGTGTTCAGTGGACGCAGAGACTCAGGTGTGCAGGATAGAAGTTTGATGGGTGAATGGGGGTGGTGGTTGCCCAACAGTGTGTATGCACTTAATGCTACTCAACTGTGTACTTCAAAATGGTTAAAAGAGTAAATTTTTAAAAACTTTGTTTTTTTTTTTGTTTTTTTTTTTGCTAGGCAAGTGCTCTGGCACTAGTCCCTCACATGGTCCATTTTATGTCCTGCACATGCAGGAGGACTTAGGAACTGTTTTGGTTGGTGTTCTAGGACCCCAAGGTCAAGGTGCAGCAGGTGAGCGTGGAGGGCAAGGATTTAAACTCTGGTGGGGCAGAGGCTTCTGGCTAATGCACTTCTAGGCTGCAACCCCAAGTATCGGCCTCCTGTGGCAGATACTTCTGTCCACGTGGAGCCAGCGCACCCTAGTGGTGAAACCCAGGTAGCACTAATTATGCACATACCTGCTGCCAATTAGAGCTTCATTGTTATGAGAAGCTGTTGACATAAAAAGGAAAATCCAGTTGGGTTAAGAAATCCATAATCATGGCAAGTCCCTACACTTCACTTGTCAACAAAAGAAAAGAAACAGAGATTACCAGCCCAGCATGGTAGTGCATGCCTGTAAGCCAGCCTCAGCAACTTAGCGAGGCCCTAAGCAATTTAGCGAGACCCTGCCTTTAAATAAAATACTGAAAGAGCTCAGGGGTTAACCACCAGTTCAACTCCCAGTACAAAAATAAATAAATAAAAATAAAAATTTAAAAAGCCTAACTAAATATAATTTCAACAGTTGAAACTTTTTGGATCAAATTTTTTTGAGAGCAATGATTCTTACTGGCCATGAATCACAAATGTAAAGAGAATATAAAAAATAAGAGAATTAATTGTCATAAGAAATCACATCTAGTCATTTCAGGCATAAAACCTGATATACAAAAGGTTGGGTTCCTAGAAGCAAGCTCGGGGTTTCTCTTTAAACATACAAAAGATATCTGGGGGAAGTATTTGACAAATTTGATACTCATCCTTTCTTTATATTTCACATTTTATTTTTTGTCTAATTAATATAATGTAAAGAAAATGTAAGGACCTCTTTTTTATCTATTTAGACACTCCAAAGTCTTCTTTCATTTATTCCATAGGAAAAACAATATTTTCTGTAAGAGCCATGTACTCAAAAAGACTGGGAATGAATGGATCTGTTCCATCCTACATATTACTCTCTGAGAGTCTTCTGTGCCCTCTGCTTCATACTTGAGCCCACTGTAGCTCCTTAAAGCCTGGACAACCTCAGGTCCTATTCGAATCATGTCATGTTAGATATGCAATGAAATATGCAGTAGATAGTCCCCCTTAACCCATGATATCACTTTCTGCGGTTTCAGTTACTCACGTTCAGTCATGGCCCAAAAAGATTAAATGGAAAGTTCCAAAACTAAAGAATTCATGTTTTAAATTCCATGCCAGACTGAGTAGCATGATGAAATCTCTTACCATCCCACTCAGTCCCACCCAAGATGTGAATCATCCCTTGTGCAGTGTATCCACACTGTATATGCTACCCATCTGTTAGTTGTTCAGTAGCCATCTTGGTTATCAGATCTGCTGCTATGGTATCACAGTGCTTGTATTCAAGTAAGAAGGTGATGAGTAGCCTTGATACTACCATAATTTTTACATCATTTACCTCGCTTCATCACATAGGCATCACATCATCTCACATCACGAGAAAAATAAGGTTAATTCATTTTTCCAACATTCTAGAACTGGAAGTCCCAGATCCGTGTGCAACATTCTGGCAAGGGTTCTCTTCCTGGCCTGCACCCCATAATCCACCTCCCAAAGACAAGTGCTAATAGCAAACGTTGTCTTTCCTTTTAGCGTTTTTCTAATGAGGCCTTTTTTCACATAGTTGTGCATATATCAAATGGTATTACCTATTTTTCCACTTAACATGATAATTCATATCTCCTTAGTAGAAGCCAAATGTCTATGTGTGTGTGTACACGTATGCAACTAAGAATTGAACCCAGGGGTACTCTACCACTGAGCTACATCTCCAGCCCTTTTTAAATTTTTTTTTTAAATATGAAACAGGGTCTCACTAAGTTGCTGAGGCTGAATTTGTGATCCTCCTGCCTCAGCCTCCCAATTGGCTGACATCACAGGTATGTGCTACTGTTGCTGTTGGGAATGTGTACCTTTGAGCACCCCATTTCAATCCATCTTCCAAAGGACACCTGGATTTTCCTTTTGAGAATTTCTCATGAGTATGTATCACTTTGGAAGGTAAATCCAGGTGCCATTGCTCTTTCCCAAAGCTGGAGGGGCCAGATCCTGCCACTTCTTGCCCCAGGGCCAGCTGGAGGTGTCCTGTGGGTGGCTGATGCGGAGGAAGGGATGGTTCCAGGTGAGTGGTTGCCACTTGGGGGCTTTCCTGGGCAGTTGCTGAGATGAGACCTCGGGAGAGACTCCTGCTGCTGGAATCTAAAGCCACTTTTATTCCAGCCTTCTTGCAACATTGGCCTCTAGCTCACTTTGATTTGATTTCCACAATTCCCTGTGGCTTAATGGACCAATGTCAGTTTCTATTGCTGGCAGCTGAAGGATCCTGGCAGATAAGCCTGCTCTGTTAAAATTCCTTGAAAGCTGAGAGGTTGATGCCTACGTGATATTCCATCTCAGGGCTGTGCTCCAGGCATTTCACCGCGTCCATTTTACTAGACATTTAGGTTTGATAAGCCACTTTATGCAGGAAACTTTTTCAATATTTCAAATTCCTTAGGGCAGGGACCCCTGGGCCTCCATGGGGCATGGTGATGGGCTACGTATTTCGTATCCGCTTCCTGATCATCATGAGAGCTGCTTCCCTCTGCCACACTCTTCTGCCATGATGTCCTGCCTCATCTTGACCCAGGAGTGGAGCTGGCTGTCTTATTATGGATTGCAGCCTCTGAAACTGTGAGCCCCCAAACAGACTTTTCCTCCTGGGGATGTGGCTCAGCAGTAGAGCACTTGCCTTGCACATGTGAGACCCTGAGTTCGATCCTCAGCACCACATAAAATAAGTGAAATAAAGGTGTTGTATCCAACTACAACTAAAATAAATAAATAAGAATTGTTCTTGTCAAGTCTTTAGTCACAGCTGGGAAAAAGCTGACTGAAACAGCTGAACATTTACTAAAAGAAGGGCTTATCCTTGTAAATGTGTATCTTTTGCAGCTCAAAAACATCTCTCAAGGACCTGAGAACTCTTCTCAAGAACTGAACCATCAAAAGAGTAAGACCACAGTCTCTAAGACTCTACCAGAGGACAGAATCCTAACTGACCATTACCAATCAAAAAACCCAGCTGGCCAGTCTCACGGACACAAACCAACCCTCTGCATTTCTCCTTCTCCCTGAGACCCCATGTTCCACCATGGTTATTTGCTTTTAGTTGGCTTTAAAAATCACTAATTCTGGAGGACTCGCAGCTGAGCCATGTGTTGTTAGGCTCTCCCAGATTTGCTGGGGACCTCTGGGTGCACCGTCACCGTGATCACGGTTGCCTAGGTGACATTTCAGAGACTTGGAGGCCATTTTTGTTGAAATCACCAGTTCTTCACCTGGGGCTACAAGGGCATCAGATCAGTGGTCTTTTGACATCAGAAAACTAAAAACTCCACCTTCAGGTCCTACTAACTGCCATTTTCTGAACAGCTCCCATGAAGAGACCGGACGGTTGATTGGGCATCACCGTCCCCCATACCTCGGACAACCCGACATCCTTATTCCACAAATATCCCCAAAGGTTATCCTCAGGAAGGTGAATTTGAGGATCACCTACCTCATACTTGATCACCTTGCAAATAAACTTGTCCCTTACAAATTCATTGTTTTGGTGGTTGGTGAAGAGAAAGTCAGGAACAAAGGACAGGTGAGCAAGAAATGAAAGATGTTGACCAGGCAGAGATCCACACAAGAGCTAGGCTGGTGGGAATAGCATGGGATTGGCTTAGGGTCAAGGTACCGTGGGGTGGGTCACTAATGTGGGTGGGGGAGCTTGGGTAAGAGGAAGTACAGGAAAGTGAAACTTATCTCGTAAGTTGGTGGTTAACATCTAAGGTGGCTGCTCCGATGTTAAATCAAGACCCTGGAGTTGGCGTACCATGTTTGGTCATGGTACACACCTCTAGTCGTTCTTGAATCAAACATTGATAATCTGGGGAAGGATTTTGGCCTCAAATCTGTTCAGTGTAAAATTGAGAGCTTATTCTAGGTGACCTCATCACACGAGCCAAGAAGGAAAAAACAGAGAGACACACTTTGGTATCATAGGAGAAAAAATATCTACTCTGTGAATTACCTATGGGGGCCTCCTGGGGAGGGACAGTGGGTGTCACTGGGGGCTGGAAGCAGTCCAGTTGGAAAGGAGGTGGGATCCTATAGGGGGAGGAACTAGATTCTGGTAACAAGAATGATCTAGAAACAGATTTTCCCAGAGCCGCTGGAGGGGAACTCAGTCCAGGTGACACAGGGATTTCAGTCTTGACCTGCAAGGTAATCAGTGGGCCTTGTAAGCTACTAAATTTGTGATAATTTAGCAATAACAAACAACACATAGTTCTTCCCCTGGATTTTCAGTTCTATGAGCCGGTGTGAAACAGCTAAGCTAGTTTTCAGTCTAACGGGATTGAAAAACCTGCCAGAAAATTGTTAGTTAAAAAGCAGATCCATTTTTAAGACTATAAGATTAAGATAACACATGGGGCACGATGGCTCATGCCTGTAATCCCAGCGACTCAGGAGGCGGAGGCAGGAGGATCTCAAGTTCAAAGCCAGCCTCAGCAACAACGAGATGCTAAGCAACTCAGCGAGACCCTGTCTCTAATACAATTTTAAATAAAAGGGCTGGGGATGTGGCTAGGTGGTTAAGCACTTCTGGGTTCAATCCCTGGTACCAAAAAAATAAAAATAAAAAAAATTAAGAGAACACACCAGGAGACAGGAGGTTGGGAAGTCAGCTCAACCTTCTGAGACGATGTGGTCAGCAGAGACACCAAGAGGTCAGAGCCAAGGAAAACAAGATCATTACCACCAAACCCACGGCCCTGCTCCAAGAGCCAGTTAGGAACTTTCCCGGATGGTAAGGGAAACACACATAGTGCCCAGTGAAGCCCACGGTTCCACTGACTTTGTTAGCAGAGTAAAAATCTCACCTGAGGAGGAGACTGAGGATGGAGTGAGACATGCCTCGCAAGAGGGGCAGTGTGCAGGCACCTGGGTGTGGACCCTGCCCACCCCGTGGACGCCACACAAGCTGTGCACCTTGGTCCTTTGTCAGCGTCAGCCTGGGATTTCCGTTCCCCACATGTGGCCTCCCTGTGCTGGAGCACAGGAATGCGCAGCCTGGTTCTGGGCCAATGTGCCTGTTTCACATTCTTCTGCTACCGAGCACAAGACCCCACGGAGGAGTCGGTGACGTGCACATTCCATCTTTCCCTTATCCCAGCCGGGTCACGTGGCTGTTTCCCAGCAATTCCTGTTATGGCTGGATTGGAATGTCTCCCCGCAGCTCACAGGTGAAGGTCTGCATGGCCCCAGGGCATGGATGCCCAGAGTGGGGCTCTTGGGAAGGGCTTCCATCTTGAGGCCTCTGAGCTCATCAGTATGTCCATCCACTGAGAGCTGCGTGGACTTCCCGGAGGTGGTGGGAAACCAAGGCTGGGGGGCACGGCTGGAGGGAGCGGTCCCTGGGTGCATATCTTGGAGGGCATGTCACATCAACTGTCCCTTCTCCTTCCTCTCCTCTCCTCTCCCCTCCCCTTCCCTCCTCTTCTCTTCCTTTCCCTTCCTTCCCCGCCCCCCTTCCTGGCTGCCAAGAGCTGAACACCCCTCCTCTACCACCCCCTTCCGCCATGATGTTCTGCCTTACCTCAGGCCCAGAGCAACGGAGCCAGTTGACCCTGGATTGAATCTCTGAATCCATAAGTCAAAGTAAACCTTTAGGTTATTTTAGAGGCCACCTGCTACTCTAAGGCCACCACCTCCTCTAAGGTGTTTGTGCGGGTATTTTGGTCACAGTGAAGAAAAGCTGACTAGCACAAGACTGCATGCTCCACCTCATTTAGGCCCCAGGGCGACTGTGTGAGGCAATTCTTTTTTTTCCCCCTGAGGTACAATTTCCGTACAGTGGAAATGCACAGATCAATACAGTGGTCCAACTCTGTTGGCATATGAGGTAATGTTTTATGGAAAGCATTTTCAGTTTCAAATAACAGAAGTCTATTTGAAGTGGGTATGGGAATAAAGGTGGTGGGGAAATTATTACAAAGATGTAGATCTATCTCAAGGATCTTCAAATCTCCACTGCCGCTGGGTCCCTGGGAAGACATGCCAGGTGCAGCCGGTTTCCATGCCACCCTTGACTGTACGCTGTGCACCCACATATATTTTGCTGGAAATCAATTCAGTAGAATCATGAATTTATCAACTGTCTCTGTGATAGATAATTAGGAATCAGCATAGAACATAGTGTTTCGTCCAGCAGAACATATGGCTGAAGGCACCAAAAACAACAGTAGGGGACTAGGTGGGACTGATGAGGATGCTGAAGAAAGGAGCACTAAAGTATTTATTAGTGGAACTCCAGACTGCTGGTCAACCCCACAAGGGAAGGCGAGAGAAAGGAATGTTCTACAGACATGTTCGGCCGCATCGATGGAGTCTGGAGTCTGGGTATGGAGTTTATAAGAAGGTCGGAAGGCATTTGGCTCAGGGCTGGGGCTGATTTCTCCACACTCTGAACACCTTCATCAGGGCCTAGGAAAGTTCAAGGTCCCCTGCAGGGACAGCAGGCAGCTGGCTGGGTCACAGAGTGGTCAAGGAGCCAGGACAGGAAGAAAGTGGGGTGGACCAGGAGAACCCGGGGGAACGTATCATCATGTCCTCGACACGATGGAGACAGGGCAGAGGATGGCTAGCAAGTGGCCAGGCAAGGAGAGGAAAGACAATGGCGCTTCAGAGCGGGGACAGGAAGTGGGTTTTCAGAGCCGCTGAGTCGAGGCCTGCAGGAGGAAGAAGCTAAGACCTGACAGGGAGGGAGGCCACCTGCTACAAGGCTGTGGGGGCTGCATCTAGGATCACGGATTTCATCGGGAGCCTCTGAAGGTTATCAAGCAGAGGAGGAGCGATTTCATGCTGATGTTTCACCCCTGATGGGAGAGTGAGCAGAATGGATTGGACGTTTTGGGGTGAATTCCTACAGGCCTGAGACTGGCCTGAGCTGAGTGGCTGAGGTGAGAGGTGCCCGCAGAGCCCTGGCGCCTGGTCAAGACACAGAATACATTCTTGAAATTGCTCTGAACATGGATCCAAGGCAAGTTTAAGGGCAGTTTTCTGACAGCTGTGAGACTGGACATTTGCAGCTGGTCTCAGTGAGGCCTGTGGGTTCTGCCACTGGGGCGGGGGGTAGGGGGGTTACATGGTAAGAGTATGCCTATGTGACCTGCAGGGCACAAGAAGCCCCAGCCTATCCCCATTTTTGACATCTCGATTCCAAGATGTTCAGGCTCATGTGGCTGATTCCTGATCTAAAAGAGAAAGTGCATCCACTGAGCTCCGCAGAAAGAAAAGCGTAGAGCTTGCCCCTGTCCTCTCCAGACCCTTTGTGATGGCACTTTGGGCTGCTTCCTGTGCATAACCTGTTGCTCTGTAATATCCTTTCCTGCAACACTGTCACTTTGGGTCCTATGAGTCCAAACCCTATCTAGTTACTGCAAGGTGGGAATGACTGCTCTGTGGTATCTCAGTGCCTACTTCAGTGGCTGGCACAAAGTATACATTTATTATAAATATTTGTAGATTAGTTTAGGCTAGAGCTAGTGTGGCATGAAGAGCTGGGACAGGAGTCCTGGGATCCAGCTTCTCCTGTGTCATATAGACTGCTTGTCAGTGCCTAATCCATGACAGTGGCTCAGCACACATTTCTCAAATGAGTAAATCTATGAGAGAAGGGTTTGGACTTGACAATAATCTTTAGCTAATCTAATAATCTTTAGCTACAGATCAAAAGAAAAGAAGGTATATTAGTCAGCTTTCAGCTACTATAACAAAATACCTGAGATAATCAACCTAAAGAGGAAAGGTTTCTTTTGACTCATGGTTTTGGAGGTTCTAGTCCATGGTTGGGCAGACCCATTGCTTTTGGGCTTGTGACAAAGCCCAAAATCATGGTGGGGAGCATATAGTGAAGCCAACAAGCTCCCCTCATGGTAACTGGGAAGCAAAAAGAGAGGAGGGGGCAGGGTCCTACAATCCCCTTTAAGGGCACACCCCCAGTGATCTAACTTCTTCCCTCCAGGTACCGCCTCCTAAAAGATTTATCACCTCCCCATAGCACCTCAGGGTGGGGACCCACCCTTCAACACATGGGCCTCTGGGGACATTCAACCTGCAAACTAAAGCAAAAGGCCAGGAGCTTCCTGGACACACCCTTGGTCTAATGGGCCCTTCTAGATAAGCTGTTCCAAAGGGAGAGGACCTCACTGATGTTATTTCACAGCCTTTCACCCACACTCCTTTCTTTCCAGCATTCCAGGGCTTCAGTGACCTTTTTGGAACTGCCAATGACAATCTAAAAGCAGCCTTTGGTACTGGTTTATTCTTGTCAATCTGCCTCTTTTAGTTTCCCTTTCTAAAAATGGCCCCTAATTTTGTTTTGCCCTAAAATCTAGAGGAAATTTTCCCTAAAAAAAAAAAAGAAAGAAAGAAAGAAAAAAAGTCTTTTTTAAACTTAAAGTACCATCATTTCTTTTTTTTTCTTTAGCTGTAGATGGATACAATCACTTTATTTTATTTGTTTATTTTTATGTGGTGCGAAGGCTTGAACCCA